CACAGTGCCAGGAACCCAGGTTCAATTCCACCTTCGGGCGACTGTCTGTGTGGAGTTTGCATGTTCTCCCCGTGTCTGTGTGGGCTTCCTCCGGGTGCTCCGGTTTCCTCCCACAGTCCAAAGATGTGCGGGCTAGGTGGATTGGCCATGCTAAATTGCCCATAGTGTTCAGGGATGTGTAGATTAGATGGGTTATAGGGAGATGGGTCTTGGTGGGATGTTCTGAGTGTTGGTGTGGATTTGTTGGGCCGAAGGGCCTGTTTCCACACTGTAGGGATCCTATGATGATTCAACCTTTCAATCTGCCTGCTTTGGATTTGCAGAACTGCTGTTTCTCCTTGACCAAATTATAGTCATCAAGTTATATGGCACAGAAATCGACCCTTCAGTCCAATTCGTCCACGCCAACTAGACATCCCAATCTGACCTAGTCCCATTTGCCAGCACTTGGCCCATATCTCTCTAAATCCTTCCCATTCATATGCCCATCCAGATGTCTTTTAAATGTTGTAATTGCACCAGCCTCCACCACTTCCTGTGGCAGCTCCTTCTATACACGCTCCACCCTCTGCATGAAAAAGTTACTCCTCAGACGCTTTTTAAATCTTTCCCCTCTCACCTTTAACCTATGCCTTCTAGTTTTGGAGTTCTATACCCTGGGAAAAAGACCTTGGTTATTCACCCTTGCATGCCCCTCATGGTTTTATAAACCTCTATAAGGTCACCCCTCAGCCTCCAATGCTCCAGGGAAAAATGCCCCAGCCTATTCAGCTTCTCCCTATAACTCAAACCCTCCAGTCCTGGCAGAATCCTTGTAAATCTTTTCTGCAGCTTTTCAAGTTGCAAGGCAGTGAGAGCAGGCAGCCTGGGACAGCCGAGGTCAAGCCCTTGTGTGGAGTGCAAGTCCTGCATGGCTAGGCGCTTGTGGACTGTGGTGTTGAACTGTTAACTGTGTTTCTTTGTTTTTCCACATTTTAGTAAGAAGGACTGTAATGTTTAACTTTTTAAACTTTGTTTTCCTTTTTTTTGTTGCTTTGTACCTTAGATTCTGTATCTAGGTACCTTTGCACATAAGATGGCGCCGTAAGTGGTGACTTGTACACTTTCCACTGTACTAACGTGAGTACATGTGAAAATAAACCTAATTCAGTTCAATTCAATAATGTCCTGTACAGCCGCAGCATGACTACTCCTGTCCCAATGCTTTGACCAAAGAAGGCAAGCATGCCAAATGCCTTCTTCACCACCCTGTCTACCTGCGACTCCGCTTTCAAGGAACTATGCACCTGCACACCTAGGTCTCTTTGTTCTAGGGCCCTACCATTGGTTTGCCTAACCAAAATGCAACACTTCACATTTATCAAAATTAAACTCCATCTGCCATTCCTCGGTTTATTGGCCATCTGATCAAGGTCTCATTGTACTCTGAGATAATCTTCCTCACAGTCCACACTACCTACTTTGTTGTCATCTGCAAACTTAGTATCCATACCTCCTATATTCACATTCAAATCATTTATATAATTGATGAAAAACAGTGGACCCAGCACCAATCCTTGTAGCAATTGCTGGTCACAGGCCTCCAGTCCAAAGAACAACCCTCTACCACCACCCTTTCTCCTACCTACAAGTCAATGTTGTATCCAATTGGCTTGCTCGCCCTGGATCCCATGTGATCTAACCTTACTAACCAAACTAATTGTTGAAATAGAAATCACCAATAAAAAAATCTTTCCTAAACTACACATCCAATAATACATCTTGAACTATTCCCTCTTCGCCATGCTGTTTGTGCCTGTACAGTGATCCCTGTGCCAGGCTTACACAGTGCTATACCAGTGCCTGCAACATGGCTCATGGAAGGCTGTTGACTTTCACTGCAGGACACTGCAGATGGCTTCACCTTGAGAAGCTCAGGGTCTTGAGTGCGTGAACTCAGATTGTCTTAGTATTCACAGCAGCAGTCTGGGTCAGCTCACTGACAGCCAGCAGCAGGGACACTGGTGGATGTCAGTTATGGGAGCATTAATATTGTTATCATTGAGAGAGGAGAGCTCATCATGTTCCATTTTGCTACTGTCAATCCCCACATGCGGCACCTCAGTAATTCTTATCATTTGTTGGGCAGATTGCTGCTGTAAGAACCTGCAAGTTTCTTTGAACAGAGGGATCCACAGCTACAATGGCAGCAGTCTGAGCCTGCATAGTACAAAGCTGCATGGCAACAAGCAGATTGATCTCAGACAAAGGATCCACTGCAGCACCAAAATGTGTTGGATTTCTACCTGCATTGCACTGGAAGCTGAGACTGTATAACAAGTGTGTGCGCAAGTGGGAGTTGGCCACCACTTCCACACTGAAAAAGATATATTCCAAACTTTGTGCAGAGCTCCCTGCCAGGTGGGAGTCTGATTCCTCAATGCTGCTTGACAGTGACAGTAGAGTGTTTGTCAGGCCTTGCAATGTGCTGAGCATCTCAGTGTGCATATCCCTCTTTATCATTTTGTATGTTCCCCCCCCACTTAAGCCCCAATTTAAGTTCCCTGTAGCAATCTAGTCTGCTATCTCATCCTCAAGGAGCTGGCACATGAAGTGCCCCTCACCTCTGCATTCCAAATTCTGAGCTACCCTATTTGGCTGCAGTCGTTGTGCTGCTTCTTTCTGAGAGGTTTGCAGCAGCTCTCACTCATCCTGACAAGACTGCGGTAGCTGGCCAGGCAGTCATTTTACCAGGCAGCTCCTCTTGGTTAATAAAATTAGAAAGGAGAATCACTTAGCACATGGCTGGCAGCATCCTTGGAGGGAGAAAGAGAATGAGCTCTTCCGCTCACTGACCTTACACCAGAATGTATCAGTATTTGAAAGCATAACTGCCGAAGGGAAAGGTTGCAGTGAAAACAAGAGGATTATGGCCACATCTTCTGCAGTTTTCACTTCACGTGAGAGAACACGATGAGGGTTTGGTGAGGTAGAAAAGGGACATTTGGCAAGAAAATACTTTTAACCTGAATGTCCTTGGTGATGATAGATGTAGTCGGCTCTGCCACGGCTAACTATAATCTGGAGCACGTTTCTTCCAGAGCGCTCAGAAGATGCAGGCCCGCTTTCAAGTTCTGCCTTGCTCACTCCTGTTACTTGTCCTCCAAGAGACGGAGCAGAATTTCAGTGAATGTAATGCAGTGTGTTTTGGGTGATGTGCTGCGTTAACCTGATAGCAGCAGGCATACTGAAGCAATGAAAGGGGAATTTCAAGCTAACAGACTGGTACATGTGTGAGTGTAGAGTTTCAGAATGTTAGTCCTGATTGCTGATGGGTGAATGATGAATACGCACGGTAAGAGGTTAGTATTGTGATGTGTAGCAGATGTCCTCTAAAGGTACATCCACTGACATTGACCACCCATGTGACATCATTGAACTCCTTGCAACACTGGTGCCGGCTTCTCGAAGACAATCTGAGGCAATTGATTATATTGGCCCCGGGAAAGATTCCTTCTCTTTCCTTTGGATCTTCTGTACTAATGCTTCAAGCACTGTGTGGGAAATCTCAGGAGCCCTCTCTGTTCTGCTGCTCCATTTGTAAATTTATCCTTGCAGCCACTTGCTGCAGACAGCTAGCAACTCATGCACAATGAATACTGTTCCCCTTGTTCCTCTTGCTGCCTAAAATTCTGCTCTCAGACATAGCATTTTGTTTTATTTATTCATTTTCACAGTACAGGTATTGCTGCCAAGGCCAGCATTTTACTACTTCTATTTTGTTCCCCTTAAGGAAGTGAAAATGGATGTTTTTTGTGATTGGCTGTTGTCCAGGTACTGAAGATCATCTCTCAATTCCACTGAGTGAGGAGTTTCAAGATTTTGACCTAATAATGATAAAGGAATAGCGACATATGTCGAAGGCAGGATGGTGCCTGGCTTGGAGGAGAATATAGAGCTGAAGGTGGTTAATTCTGCTAGCTACCCTTGCTGTTCCAGGTGGTAGATATCATAGATTTGAAAACCACTGCCAGAGAACCTGCTGCAATATGTCCTGCAGACGGTACATAGTGCAGTTTTGGTTTGCCAGTGGTGGGGAAACTGGTCTTTAAAGGATAGAGTACTAATCAAATAGACTGCTGTTTCCTGGATCATTTTAAGCTTCTTCAGTGTTGTAGCTAACTTCATCCACATTTGTTGAGTATTTCGTCACACTTTCACATATTAATTGTTAGAGGAGCTTTTGAGAGTCAGAAGGTGTGTTGTTAAACAAGAATCAGAAGATACATTGTTAAATTTGAGAGGGTGCAGAAAACATTTACAAGGATGTTGCTGGGGTTGGAGGGTTTGAGCTATAGGGAGAAGCTGAATGGGCTGGGGCTTTTTCCCTGGAGCGTTGGAGGCTGAGGGGTGACCTTATAGAGGTTTGTAAAATCATGAGGGGCAAGGATAGGGTGAATAGCCAAGGTCTTTTTCCCTAGGGTGGGGAAGTCCAAAAGGTCATAGGTTTAAGGCGAGAAGGGAAAATTTAAAAAGGATCTGAGGGGTAGCTTTTTCATGCAGAGGGTGGTGCATATATGGAACAAACTGCCGGAGGAAGTGGTGCAGTCTGGTACAATTACGACATTTAAAAGGCATCTGGATGGGTACATGAACAGCAAGATTTGGAGGGATATGGGCCAAATGCTGGCAAATGGGACTAGGTCAGATTGGGATGTCTGGTCAGCACAAACGAGTTCGACTGAAGGGTGTGTTTCTGTGCTGTATGACTGTATAACTCCCAAAAGAAATGCCCGTCTTTAGCCTGTTGTAGTTGCCATGACATTTGTGTGGCTGGTCCAGTTGTGTTTCTGATTTATGGTAATCATTCCTAGGATGTTGATCTGGTGTTTCAGCATTGAACATCAAGGGCAGGTGGTTAGATGCTCTCCTATTGGGAAATGGTTATTGATTAATGTTGTAGTTGTGGTTGTTACTGCCTAAAGTTGGATGTTGTACTATAGATGACTTCATTCTTTCAGGAATGGTGAGTGGAATTAAGTGCTGTACGATTATTGGGAAAACATCCCAGTTTTGACCTTTTGACAGAACAGAGGTGATTGACGATGGGCGTACCCAGAAGCATGTTTGTAAAGCCATAACTCAGATGGTTGCTGCTACATTCGTCCAATCCCATCCAAACTAATCTCCAGAGTGCGTGATCTAGGTCTCTGCTCCACCGTCTGCAACTGGATCCTCAACATCCTGATCCATAGACCACAATCAGTGAAGATATACAACAACACCTCTTCTATGACAATCCTCAGCATTGGTGCTCCACAAGAATGTGTATTCAGCCCCCTACTGTACTGCCTGTACAGTCGTGACTGTGGCCAAATTTTTTCCAAACTTCATCTACAAGTTCGATGATGACACCACTGTTGTAAGCCCAATATCAAATAATGACGAGACAGAATACAGAAAGGAAATAGAATGTTTGGTGTCATGGTGCAAAGCTAACAATCTCTCCCTCAATGACAGCAAAACTAAAGAACTGATCATCGCCTTTAGGAAGAAAGGAGGACACGCCCCAATCAGTATCAACGGAGCTGAGATGGCAGGGTCAAAAACATCAAGTTCCTTCAAGGGACGATAACTAACAATCTGTCCTGGACCACCCATGTAGATGCAATAGTCAAGAAGACACAACAACGCCTGTTCTTCCTCAGGAGGCTAAGGAAATTTGGCATGTCCAGAAGAACCCTCACCAAATTTTACAGATGTTTCATAGAAGGCATTCTATCTGGTGCGTAACAGCTTGGTATGGCGACCGCTCTGTCCAGGATCTTAAGAAACTACAGAAAGTTGTGAACATAGCCCAGATCATCATGCAAGCCAACCTCCCATCCATTGACTCCATCTACACTTCTCGTTGCTGCGGAAAGATAGCCAACATCATCAAGGACCCCTCTCACCTTGGTTATAATCTTTTCCAACCTCTTCCACCAGGCAGAAGATACGAAAGCTTAAACACATGTACCAACAGGTTCAAGAACAACTTCTTCCCCACTGCTATTAGACTGCTGAATGGCCCTTTCAAATTTCAAACCTAATGTTGATCTTGCTTTTGTGCATCTCCTGTGCAGCCATAACTTTGTATGCGTCGCTCTGTTCAATCGCCCTATGATCTGTATTTTCTTGTATGTTATGATCTGCCAGTACTGCATGCAAAACAAAACTTTTTACTGTACTTATGTACATGTGACAACAATAAATCAAATCAAATCAAACAAGAATGTCAGTACAAATGACATGCAGCCTAAAGATCACGAGCCATAACTGACTTTGATTGACACTCATTAGAGCGTGAATTAAATGGAGCTCCAGTGATACCTCAATCCCACCAGGCCGCAGTGGGATCCTGTGGCCAGCCAGTACATTTAATATTTCTGTGTAATGTCTCAAAGTGGTATCAGTGTAAAGACCATTTCTTTTCAATGTTTCTGTAGTTTTGATTGTGGACTGAAATAGGAAAATGACTGTTTTCAAATCAAGGATTGTGGAAGAGATTGCTGCACTTTGTTTAAAAGCAAGTAATTGAAACTCATTGTATGTGGCGGTTACATGACTGCTTTGTTTACATGAGCTGCTCCTTTGTCAGATGAAGTTACTGACCAGGCCTATATCCCTGGACATTGTAGGGGAGGGATGTAGTGATTGGAACTAGCTGATCTTATTGACTACTAGGTCCTTGATTGGGATTGTTAACCTGGGCCAATCAGGAAGCCCTGGCTGACCAATATTAACAGGGGATTTACAATCCCCTGAGTTCAGGCGACTGACTCCAAGCTGGCTAGCTACAGTTATTTACATGTAAATAAAGGATGACTTGATGACTTGATGACAGGATACCAGCCTCTGTGCAGTTATTTTAGTTAACATTCATGAACGGTAATTTATTTGATCTCTGGTATGGAGGGATTGTCTTATGAGCAATTATGCAGAAGGGCTGGAACCAGGGGGTCAAAATGAGATTCAGCTGGCAACAAGTAGCTGATTGGTTTGTGGAATTGTGACCACCTATGGATAACAAAGGCCATCTGCCTGTCAATAATTATGTGATTGGTTCCTGGCAAGTGGCAAGTGAACAGCTTGTGAGTGAGAATGATATTGCCAGAAGCCTTCAGACTTCCAGAAGAGGCAGTGGTAGGTCTCTGCAGAAAGTCTGAAGAAAGCCAGATATCTTCTTCCATCTGTTGCTTTGCAGTTATAAGCTGTTGTTTTTAATAAATAAGTCAGAGACTTTATAATTTGTGAACCAGTCATTCTGTGCCTTCTACAAGGAAATAGAAAGTACCTGGAGAAAAAAGAATGAAGAACAGCAAGTCCTGGCAAGCAGAAGTGAACCGTGTGGCCAGAGGCCATTGAACTGTTTTCCTAGATTTTCCCTCTGCCCATAAGATCAGTTTTTTGCCTGGCTGTGTGTGTATAGGGGTATTTTATAAGGGGGATGGAGTTTTAACCAGTAGAGATCTGTGTCAAGTTATATAGTTTATGTTTGTTTAACTGTAGCTAGAATCTATTTATTGTATGAAGTAGTAATTCTTGTTAATTACAGAAACCTGGTCCACATTTTCTCTAAATAAAATTCGAGAACTTCTGCATACTTTTGTAAAAGCTTTAGCTTTTGTGATGTCTCTGGGAATAATGGCGCTTGGTTTCCACCATGCTACCCCAGTGAGGTCTGACATTAGGCCCAACGTTGCTTGCTGCAAATCATGCACATACAGGTAAAGCACTAAGGTAAATCACACTGGCAATGCAGATTGATCTTACTGACTTGTACATTGCTTTGAATATTTATTGGCCACTTGTGAGAATAAAGCTGGAGCATAGTGAAGAAATGTGAGGCCCAAGTGGTGAAAGAAGACATTGGTAGGAGCAGTGTACAGACCCCCATACAGTAGCCACACTGTGGCAAAGACTAAAAAAATCAACAAATAACAGGACCATATAAATAGAATAGAGCAATAATTATGGGTAACATTATTCTTCATGATGTGGAGGTGTTGGTGTTGGACTGGGGTGGACAAAGTCAGAAGGTACACAGCACCAGGTTATAGTCCAACAGGTCTATTTGAAATCACAAACGTTCAGAGTACTGCTCCTTTGTCAGATGAAGTTACTGACCAGGCCTATATCCCTGGACGTTGTAGGGGAGGGTTGTAGTGACTGGAACCAGCTGGATTTTATTGACTACAAGGTCCTTGATTGGGATTGTTAACCTGGACCAATCAGGAAGCCAGGATCAGCCATGATCCTATTGAATGGCAGAGCGGGCTCAAGGGGCTGAATGGCCTACTCCTGTTCCTATTTCTGATGGTCTTATGGTGATTTGGAGAGATTACGTTAGATATCTGCAATGCAGTATATTGAATGGCCACTTCAAATGCTTGTTTATTCGAAGGTTTTTGGCTTGGACACTTTCTTACTAGATTTTCTGGTTGTATTGTAATAGCTAATTCATTGTTTTTAATTCCATCCTCACCAAGGATTTGGGATCCTTTCTGCAAAAGCCACTTTCAGTTGTTTGGTGGCATATTTGAACATTGCTGAAAAGAGATGAAATATTGAAAATATTGGTCTTACACTCATCGGGATAAAGGCAAGAAATTCAAATTTTAAATGATCCTAACAATTTACACTACAGGGGAAAGGTGTATTGATTGACCAAGGCGTTGTCATAGAAAAAGCAACAGAGAATAGAAGCTCTCAAAAAAGACAAGACATGAACACATTGCTTTTACACTGTATGAGTGTGTCGCTCCTAATAAGCATAAATGAGCCATGTTATGAGCCCAACTGATCATCTGAAATTGGCTGTTAGTCTGGCTGCTAGCATGCTTGACTAATTTGTAGGTCTTCCAGTGCTACAATTTGTAGAAATTAAAATTGCCTGGACAATTCACCAAAGAATGTTAATATCTACTTGGTTGATGAGTACCCTTCACAGAAGGGAACCAGCCACCTCTTCCCTGTCTAGTGCACACTAGTTCAAGGCCCATACCATGTGGCTGACTCAGGATGTAATTTTCCCCTACATAGAGATGGCAAGAAGAGTAAATAATTGGACAGGCTGGTCCGGGAGAGATACTCATCTACTTCTCATCTTTTCACCAATTCTCTGTGAGAGTAGGTCCACTGTTTAGGGACTTCCTTGACTCAGCATAAATCAAGGCCCATAAGTGTGAACTAATGACCACCTAAGAACCTCAACTCCTCGATCACCTGCCTTCCTGGTGGTTGATTAAGGTAGCTAGCTTTCTAGCTGGGAAACCGGAGTGACCTGCTTGTTGAGTTAGGGGTGGGGATGCCTCTAATTGTCCCAACTGGGAGCAGTTGGACCATGGAGTTGGGTGGAGAGGATCGTAAGGCAGGAGCCTCTGAAAGTCAACCAATACCCTTCACTCTGACCTCCCTCAGCACTCACCCCACTCTCCCTACAATCTCCACCCCAAGACAAGAAGTTACAAGTCACTTACCTTCTTGCAGCTGGGTCTGCTGAGGAGTAAGTCTCATTCAGTGGTCTTCTGATTGGCCAGCAGCTTCTGGCAACCCAGGACACCCCACCCACACTCTCATGTTGGCTGTTGGCAGCATTGCTCACCTCCTCAGAACAAGTAAAACATTGAAATAGAAAGAAAAAAAACATTGTAAAAGATCTGTTCTGCCAAATCTAATAACCTTAATCTGGCTCATGCATTAAGTCACAATCCAGCAGCAACAAACTGCTTCTTTTCATCAGTAATTTTGCAGGTAGGTCTGTGAATACAACAGGTTAAGGTACACTGATCCACACTTCTGAAATGACTGCTGGCTAGAGCAGCTCACTGTTATGCTGGCAGTACCTTCCAGGCAATAGATTCAGGATAATTTCATATTTCCCATAGGTTTTGTTAAATCTTTCATTAATACCTATTCCAGTTTATTGGACATGATGGAAAAAAAGGAGTCTATGTATCATATATTTCTACAGATTAATCTTAGACCTTCTTGCTAGCAAGATTTACCAGCGACGGAATAAATCACTTATCAGACCCTGACAGCCTCACACACTAATCATTCATTTTCCTCCAGGTTGTAGTGTGAGAATATGTGTCATGGAGATCAGACACTGATAAATGTGCCATGACTTTTTCTTGCTAATTTGACTTGTGACTTTTGCTGATGAATGAAACTTTCTTTCGTGCAAACCTTGGCTGATTCTTGATGTGATGTTTCATCAATTAGTCTACTTCTCGATTAGACATGGTTGAAATAGACAAGTTGGGTGATTTATATGGGGGTGAATGAGTTATTTTTTATTTTAAAAATTGCTTTTCTAACTAATGTTGCATCATTATGCCATTACTGTATCAATCATTGTAGCTTACCAGCAAGTTTGTCCCATTAAATACTGATAACCTCAGCTTGTTGTTGATTGGGAAAATAAAACCGAAATAAAATTCAGCCCATCATTTACAAACTCCTAATAGAAATCCCCACCCCAGGTCAGCAATTTTTGTAATGTGAACATATCTGGAGTAAACTCCGTAGGATTTGGGGGAAGGAGGTGGTGGTAGAGTTATGTTTTGGTTGGATCCAATTAAGATAAGAGCCATAGGTTTGTGATGTTCAAAGTATTGTGCTTATGCACTTCCATAGTTTGCACAGTGCTGCATTTTGAAAGTTAAATCTTGCTCTTTGAGAAGCTGTAGCGATATGGTTTTATCTTACAGTTGCCTAGGGATTGCAAAATCCAATAAGGGCTCAACACTCACAAGGGACTGCAGTTTGTCATGTAAAGAAAAGTTTTGCTGTAACAAAATGGCTGCCTGATTGTTTGCGTGGCATCACAGGGACACGTAGTCAATGCTTCTTTGCTCTGATGCTGAA